ATGGAACAGAAGTTGCCTTCAGAGGTTATGGGAGCTTCATCCCTGGAAGCTTTCAAGAAAAGACTGGACTGCCATCTGTCAGAAATGGTATAGGGTCTCCTCCTGCTTGGATAGGGGGTTGGACTAGATGACCTACAAGGTCCCTTCCATCTCTGTTAATCCGTTAAGCTGTTTACCCCAATTCAGCTGTGTCCCATGGGCACACTTTACAAAGCCTTGGTAAGACCACACTTGGAATACTGCATCCAGTTCTTGTCACCACAATACAAAAAAGATGTGGAGACTCTAGAAAGAGAGCAGAGAAGAGGAACAAAGATGATTAGGGGACTGGAGGCTAAAACATATGAAGAACCGTTACAGGAATTGGGTATGTCTAGTCTAGAGAAAAGAAGGCCTTCCAATATTTGAGGGGCACCTACAAAGACGAGGGGATCAAACTATTTTCCAAAGCACCAAAAGGCAAGATGTGAAACAATGGATGGAAAGTAACCGTGATGACCCAAAGGGGCGTGGCACAAAAGCAACCAAGTCACAAAAGTAGGTAAAGTCCCTTTAATACCTCCAACTTGGCCCCCAATGTCCAGTTATCATCGTCTGGAGAAAAAAGTCTCCCAAGTACAGTTTTTAAAGGGAAGAAATTCCGTCCAAACTCAAAGTACCTATAAATTATAAATAAAAACTAACCCAAGCCACACTGCAGCAATTAACGAGACAGGGCAGGATAACGGATAGAAGACGTCAAAAGATAATGAAACAGACACACTTGGAAGGATGCCAGAACTCAGATAAGACTTGACAAACCAAAATAATTTCACACTTTGCTTCCAGCAACTTTGCTGTGCATAGTTTGCCTTTTTAAACAGTTTTCCCAGCTGCAGCCAATGAAGGGGATCAGGGCCTTTTCCTCCCCCGTAAACCACACAACTCACCTTGCTCCCTTATCTGTTCCTCCCTGCGTGCCCTAGGATGAAGAGCAGGTGGGCCTGGGTCTTCCTCTGAATGCCCAGCCCTACTGTGCCCTTCCCCAGTTTCCTCCATAGCCACCGGAGCCACACTCCCACTCCCTGTCAGCTGATCCACCTCTCCCTCAGAATCAGATTCCAACAGGGGCATGACAGTAACCAAGGAGAAAAGCAACCTGAAACTAAGGAGAAAATTCCTAACGGTGAAAGCAATCAACCCGTGGAATAACTTTCCTTCAGAAGTTGTAGGTGCTCCATCACTGGGGGCTTTCAAAAAGAGACTGGAAAGTCATATGTCTGAAATGGTATAGAGCCTCTTGCTTGAATAGGGGGTTGGACTAGAAGACCTCTGAGGTCCCCTCCAACTCTGTTATTCTATGTTTTATGATCTGGACAAGAGTCTGCCTTAGAAGGTATCCGTGCAACAGCATTGTCACAAAAAGGATCTCACTGTGTGGCTGTTTCCCTGGTCAGAAGATGTCCCTCATTTGTCACCAGAGAAACTCTAGAATGAATGAAGTAGTTTGAATCTTTGTTGGAAAAAGGAACATCCTGAAGGGACATTTTGTTTGGTGGACATGTAAAAAACACCAAAATTTTGGAGACAAATGTATACACTAATTCTGAAGATTTTTGTGATGACCCAGGATGGGATACAAAATAAACACAGCCACAAAAAACAGGTGAAGCCCCTTTTATTCCTTCACTTTGCTTCCAAGCTCCAAATATCCTTGACTGGGGACAAAAAACTCCCACACAAACAGTTACAAGAAGAAGGAAAAAATCCAACACAAACCAGGCAAGATAAGGGCTGGAGGATGTCCACAGATAACACACACTGGGAAGGACACCAAACTCAGAGAGGAACCATAAACTAGAGATATTTCCATGCTTTGTTTCCAACGCTCGCCCAGACGCATGTTCGTCCTCTTATCCAGATGTCACAGCTGCAGCCCATGAAGAGGATCAAGGCCCTCTCCTTTCCAGTAGCCCACGTCTCTCCCTTATCCTCTCCTCCCTGCGTGCCCTAGGATGGAGAGGGGATGGGCCTGGATCCTCCTCCGACTGCCCGGCTAGCCTCTGCCCTTCCCCAGCCTCCTCCACAACTTCCGGAGCCACACTTCCACTCCCTGTCAGCTCTTCCTCCTCTCCCTCGGAGTCAGTATCCACCACGGGCATGGCAATTTTAAAGGTTAAAGTACAACTGAAACCAGAGGCTTTTCTTCTAGGACTGGTGGATAGGCAACTAGAAACAAGTCATGAAACTTTCTTTTTTAGCATGACAACAGCAGTATAACATGCTCAAATATGGAAAAGTTTGACAAAGCCCACAACGGAGGAATCGTTGGGGAGGAGGATGGAATTTGCGGAAATGGCTGGATTGACTTGTTTGACCGGGGGAAAAAAAAAGCTCTTTATTGCTGACTGGAAATCCCTCACAGGCTCTTTTTGCATAAAATGGGGGGGGGGGGGAAAGGCACTTACGCTTTGTGGTTTCATGATTAGAAAAAGAAATATCATAGAAAAGAATGAGCTATTTTGTAATCGTAGATAAGAGGTGCTTTTGTAAATCTATTTATATTGCTGCAAAAGAAACAGAAAGCTTCTCTTTCCATTTCTTTCCATTCTTTCTTTCTGCACTTTTGCCTTTTCCTTGATTTTTTTTTTCTTCTTTTTCTTCTTTTACTCTTTATTAATAAACTTTTATTAAGCTTTTTTTAAAAAAGAAGATGCCCCTTAAAAACTGGACTTACTTGGGTGGTGCCTTGTCCTCAAATGGGTTGAAGGCCAGAAGAGACAACGTTTCCTTCTCGTTGGCCAAGAGTTTCCCGGCTAAGTGAATCACCCATTCGTTCTGCTCATAGGTCTTACGGAGAAAGAGAGCAAGGAGAAGGGGAGAAAACACACATTTTGAGAAGCGACGCGCATGAAGCGGATTTTAAGCCGAACAGGTCAACTGGAAGCCTCTGAATAATAAAAGATAAAAGCAGTGCATTACCATACACGGAACCCCCCCCCCCCAAAATCTTTCATGCATTCATTAGAGTTGGGGGCGATAAACTGATTATACGTAGTCCTTGACTTG